TCTCAGTCCCCAACATTGGGCTAAGTCGCAGCTTGGAAGGGGGGTATCATCAATCACACAATATGGAATTGGTGAGACAACCACTTTTGACAAGTGTGTTCTATTTTGGGATCGAAAGAAGTATTCTTTGGATGTACCCCTTGGTCGCACCGACAATGTTGCCACCTTCTATTTGGCACCTGGCTTCAAACGATTTGACCTCTTTTGTCAAGAATGCAATTTCGACTATGACAAGAGTGAGGAGGAGCCGATTATTATCTCTCCAGCCGGTGTTGTCAGTGATAACGAAGAAGACGACGACGATGATGATGATGTTCTTCCACCAGACCCCCCTCCAACTACAGCCACTACCTTTTGGTCCCGACTGACTACCAAATTTCGCCGTCCGAACCACAAGGCCAAGGCCCCTCAAACTCAAGCTCGCGAAGCAGCTTTTGACTTGGATGGACCAACTACAGATGGTGCACCCAAACCGGCGGTGATAGCCGAGGAGGAGGAGAAACAACCAACAACAGATAGCCAGCAACTACTACGGCTACACCACCAAATGGGTCACATCTCTTTTGCGAAACTGCAAAGCATGGCAAAGCAAAATATCATTCCACGAAGGTTGGCCAATGCTGATATTCCAAGATGCACTGCCTGTTGTTTTGCCAAAGCTACAAGACGACAATGGCGGGAGAAGAGGAGAAAGCATTGGACAAAGGAACGAACTGTAACAAGACCTGGAGAAGTCATTTCAGTTGATCAACTTGTCTCGCCTTCACCTGGATTGATTGCCCAAATATCTGGCACATTGACTAAGAAGCGATACAAGTACGCTACTGTTTATGTCGACCAATATTCAGGATTGAGCTTTGTTTACTTGCAGAAAACAGCAACTGCGGATGAGACCATTGAAGGCAAGAAAGCATTTGAAGCCTATTGCAAGCAACATGGCGTGAGAGTTCAACACTACCATGCCGACAACGGAATTTTCAGAGCACATAAATGGGTTGACGAATGCCGGAAGATGGAGCAAGGACTTTCTTTCGCTGGAGTAAATGCACACCATTCCAATGGACTTGCTGAGAGAAGAATCCGATCACTACAGGATCTTGCTCGATCAATGCTGATACACCAACATAGAAGGTGGAGCATGGCAGGTACCGTTCATCTATGGCCTTATGCTCTGAGAATGGCAAATGACGCAATCAATGAATCGCCGAACCTCAAGGACAAGCAAGGACGCTCGCCATTGCAACTGTTCAGCAACTCTCAAGTACAATTGAATGAGAAGCATTGGGTGCCTTTTGGTTGCCCAGTCTATGTTCTGAATACTGCATTGCAGAGTGGAAAAGGGATTCACAACAAATGGGAGTATCGATCCAAAGTGGGCATATATCTTGGGCGATCTCCAAACCATGGTCGAAACATTGCATTGGTCCTTGATAGGACAACTGGGCTAGTGTCACCTCAGTTCCATGTGATATTCGATCGAAGATTTCAAACCGTCAAAGAAGACAAATTTGATACTCAATGGCAACGAAAGGCAGGCTTAGTCCAGCATGATAAACCGGACAATTCAAAGCGAAAGCAAGCCTCGACAATGGAGTCAGTCGATCCTAAAACACAGGAAGTTTTGCCAGTTTCAGAGGGAGTCCAACCGCCAAAGAAGAAAGCGAGAATGGATGATGAAGTATCAAAGCCGGAAAAACACACACAGTTCGAGATGCCGACCCCTGATGGCCTCGACAATGGGCTGCAGCCATCCCCATCCAATGATAGTCAAATGGATGAACCAACAAATAACAATGACCCACCATCAAATCCAGGAGCAGTCAGCGATGCAGACACTGGTCGCCCTTCAATTTTCGAGGAGGAGAAAGAGAAGGAGCGAGTTCCCGAAAGCCAAAGGGATCCCAAGTCAGCGCAGCATCCTCATCCGGCTGAGGATATCATTAAAGCAATGAAGGCAGAACTATCGAGAGCCACTGTGCATGACGTTGAAGGAGAAATATTCTGCCTCCAAGCAATGTTCCCCAATTATGCAGGAGAAATGGAGCAGGACCCGCTAAGTATTTATAAAGCAACCTCGGACCCAGACACAATGTACATGCATGAAGCCATGCGAGAAAAGGATGCCCATGAATTCAAGAAAGCAATGAAGAAAGAATGGGAAGATCAAATCAACAATGGAAATTTCAGTGTGGTACATCGATCGCAGGTTCCAGAGGGAGGCACAATACTACCAGCGGTGTGGCAAATGAAAAGAAAAAGAGATATCAAGACAAGAACGATCAAGAAGTACAAAGCGAGATTGAACATTGACGGCTCAAAGATGCAATATGGAAAACATTATGATCAAACATATGCTCCAGTTGCGAGCTGGAACTCAATCCGAACTTTGTTGGTCCTATCAGCTCTTCTTGGTTGGCATACAAGGCAAATTGATTACGTCTTGGCGTTTCCACAAGCACCAGTTGAACGTGAAATTTACATGAAAATACCTGGTGGATTCGAAGTGTCCAAGGGGAACACAAAAGATTACGTGTTGAAACTCCATCGAAATGTATACGGCGGAAAACAATCCTCTCGTGTGTTTTTCAAGTTTCTGTCACGCAAACTCATTGACGAAGTCGGTTTCAAGCAATCCGAAGTTGATGAATGTGTGTTCTATCGAGGATCTGTGATGTATGTATTGTACACAGACGATTCATTATTGGCAGGTCCTGATTTGAAGGAAGTTGAGCAGGCAATTGAAGACATTAAAGCCGCCAAACTGGACATTACGATTGAAGGAGACATCCAAGATTTCCTTGGTGTTAACATTGAACGAAAAGAAGATGGTACAATCCATCTCACACAACCACATCTTATTGACCAGATTCTTGAAGATCTACGGTTGGAAGACAATGCCAAACCAAGATCGATTCCAGCTCCGTCATCCAAACTACTGTCAAGGCATTCTGACTCTCCAGACTTCGATGGATCATTCAACTATCGATCAGTGATAGGAAAATTGAATTATCTCGAGAAGGGATCTCGATCTGATATTGCGTACATTACTCATCAATGTGCGAGATTCTCGAGTTGTCCAAAGAAGGAACATGGAGAGGCCATTCGATGGTTAGGTCGATATCTGAAAGGCACGAAGGACAAAGGGACTATATTGAAACCAGACAAAGAGAAAGGTATTGAAGTATATGTTGATGCTGACTTTGCAGGAAATTGGGATCCAAATGAATATGAGGATCGCGATACTGCAAGATCAAGACATGGATATTACATCACCTACGCTGGATGTCCCATTGTTTGGAAATCCCAGATGCAAACAGAGGTAGCACTCTCATCGACCGAATCAGAATACACTGGACTATCTTATGCACTCAGAGAAGCAATTCCTATCATGAACCTTTTTCAAGAAATGATTGATAATGGGATACCTCTGGAAACTTCAAAAGCGAAGGTGCATTGTAAAGTTTTTGAGGACAACAGTGGGGCATTGGAAATTGCGAAAGTGCACAAGTTTCGACCAAGGACAAAACATTTGAACAACAGACTACACCACTTCAGATCATACATTGGTGATGGACCTTGCATGATAAGTATTCACAAGATACACACACTGGATCAAATTGCAGACATACTAACAAAGCCATTGAATGAAGCGAGTTTTGTCAAGTTCAGAAAATTGGTACTTGGTTGGTAATGAGAAGATCAAGATTTGGAGCAAAAGAGGGAGTGTACAGATATACGGTATTTGAACCAAATCATGAATGGTTGAATCATGAATCGACTCCGTGGACTCAACGGTCATTGGAAATACACTGACCGGGATAACGAATTCTAAATTGAGAAGTCCGATGTCAGCAAGGAGGCTTATGATTATCTTGGATTGCCATATGATTGATCTTGGATGTATGCCAGAATATAAGTAACTGATCTTGAATGAAGGTCATTGCATGATCAAGCAAGATCAGAATGCTACTGTACGACTAGAGCCGATCTGAGAGATTTCATCAGATCAGAGCTCACAACAACAAACAACAACAAATTCAATTCAATCCAATCTAAAACAAACTTGATATCAATCTCAACTAATCTTAATCAATCAATACATTACAATCACAATCGTTTATTGCCCCAAAACTTTTATTGAGTCATATCGATTGAGTTTTGTTACAAACGGATGAGCGGTACCGCAGGTCAACACCGAATACGAAAAATTCAAACATTACGGTTCGTACCGGTATACCTCGTGGTACCGCTCCGATTCTCCAAATAACGTTTCGATTGATTCCGAGCGGTCGTACCGCATTTTCAAATTTGTCAACTCAACACTACGGGTATAAAATATAAATAATTCAAACACACGCTATATAATACCGGTACCGCTCCGATTCCCCAACAGACGTTTCAACAAAGTTCCATCCAGCAATAATAGGGTTGCAATCACTTCAACGTTACAGAGAAGCAATACCCTCTGGAACATACCAGGCGTGATCACCGAACACGAAGGAAATCACAAAAATGAACACAAAGGACGACCACCATTTCGAATTCTCTGTTATATCGATTTAACAAAGTTCAAATAATCGGACTCGTCTTTATTGGCGCGGATCCTTGCATTATTATGTACAATGGCTCTTCTCCTATTGCGCATTTTTCTCCGGAAGTCCGATCAACATAACATCCTAAAATGTTCCGGATTCATTCGATGTTTGATCACTTTCAATAATAATTCTCAGCGCAACACCTGAAAAACGAGTGCTGTCGTTTACAATAACATTTCATTTGTCAAGACGGTAAGAGTCCTGTTCTGTATGTTCGGTGACAAGGAAAAAGCAATCGTTCACGTTTGGCAATATATAATGTTGAATAGTTCAAAAGGAGGAAACATATCTGAATGGGTGTGGGAACTGAAACAAAATGCTTCGTCAATATGTTGGTGTATCTCCTATAGGATCGATCTCATTGTCTCGTTGTCTATCACTCCAGTGAATAAACCAAAGTTTGCAATGGTATCCAATGATGAAGAAAGTTCCCCTGATGGACGACGATCGTCTTCGCGAAGTCCGAGACGGTCCAAGCCGGAAAGAGACTCCAAGGCAAAAGAACGAAGCCGTCGTGGTCCGTCCTCACGCAGCACACCTGGGGCTGTGCGTTCTTCCAGCACCAGCGAACGAAACAAGAGACGCTCAGCTGAGGATCACAATAACAAGTCCTCTCGCAGAGGTGGACGAAGCTCAAGGTCCAACAGCAGTTCTCTTTCTCCTAAACGGGGAGAAGCTGGAAGAAGTATTACACATTCTTCGAGCGACCGGAAAAAGGAACGAAGGTCCACTCGAGCATCGACTCCTGGTGCTCGA